ATATAAGTTAACTAGCAACAAACGAATTAGCCATTAAAATTGAGCATCTGCAATTGGAGCTCTGTAAGCAAAGGCCACCTCCACTCTAGGATGGAGCCTAGTTGTAACACTTGCTTGTTACAACTGGATTCCAGCCCTTTAGGGATGACACACTTGGCAACTGTAACAAGGTAGCTCCTTTCCCATCCCACCTTAGCTCAAGTGTGGGAAAATAGAAATAGGCCTGCACATGATGTCGTTGTTCTCCCTATCTTGTCTGGCTTTCCTACTTCCCTGCTCATCCCTTCTGGGCCGACTGGCATTGAATCAGTAACATTCCGATGCTCTGCACTGATTCTGATGCTCAGCACTGATTCTGTGATGAATTGTTTCTATGCAGGCCACCATTGACTTGGTGATCGGCTATGACCCACCTTCAGCTCCACATCCGAATGACCCAAGTGGAACCAGCATGCCAGGCACAGGAGGTAAGCTGATCCTTCCAAAGGCCAGGTCACCCCAAAAGGAATCTGCTAAGACACACCAGGAGGGGCCCTGGAGAAAGTCTGCAGCTGTAAGGCAGGTGGAGCTGCCCAAATTGGGACATTACAAGTATTTAAGAATTACCCTTCAAGGCAGAGGGGAAAGGTGAAAGAGTCTTTGTAAACAACCTCTTGTCAGACCCGCCCAGCACACACCTGGACTGCAAAACCATGTCCCAAGCATGGGGTTTCCTCTTATCTTTGAAATGTAAACACTCCGGAGAGTGTTCCAGCTTGTGGGGTTCATGGAGTGACCTCTCTGTTCTCTTCTGTCTTCTTGCTTTCCCAAAAGTGTGACCACTGGACTATGCTCTCAAGGACCAATCTCATGGTCAGTGCCCTTGGACTGGGGCCTCTTTCTCTGTCTCCCTTAGCCCTGATTCCCCTCCCACCCTCAAACAGCCCTTGATCCTCTGGTTAATTGCTTCCCTTCAGAACAACCCACCTCTTATCCTCCTTGATCTCTGACATGGGTTGTCAGTCTTTTGGGGTCATGAGATCAGGGTGGGGTTGTGTGAGGCTATCAGGGGAGGGATTTAGTCCTCAATTAGAGGGAGGGGGTCTACATGACAATATTTCATGGCCCCGAATTGTAGCTTGCCTAACAAAGGAGACCCTGAGCTCCATTGTTGCAGGGGACAGACAAGGAAAGACACCAAATAGGAACAGAAAGCAGGTTTATTTGGCTCTAGCCAGGTTCAGAGGACAAAGCTTTTGCTGTAATCAATCAATCCCCCTGAACCCCAAGTAAGGGGAGGGGCTCAAAAGTTCACAGTCTGCAGAAGTTCACACAAAAGCTTTTTCTTTCTCTGTTCTGGGCAAGTTAACCCTTCAAAGACAACACCTGAGAAGAGGGGAGCTTCTTCTCCCAGGTTCTTTCTTCCCCCTGGGAGTTGTTACAGAGGAGCCCAATTAGTAACTTCTTCTCTTATCTTTGAAAGTAAACATCTCAGTGAAGCTCCAGTCCAGGGCCAAAGGCCTAGTTAAAAGAATCTGGTTTTCTTATCATACTTTGCATTTGCAAGCACACTTCTAAAACCTGTTCTATATGTTGTTATTTACATAAAGTGGTCCATAAATTTGTGGGAAAAACTAGTAAAGGGGTGTTCAGCTCCTAGGGTGCTGATCTCTTCCAAGTCAAGTAAGAGAGCAACAAGAAATAAGAAGTTTAAGTACATTGAACTCCTTAGTAGAGATTCTTGTGCTGATAGTCCTAAGATCAATTATAATGAAGATTTCTGGAGAAGACTAATTAAGATTTTCCTGTGTAGGAGGGGGTGCCACTACACCATCTCTAGTACTGCACCAAAAAAAAAGAACAATCTTTCACAAAGCTGACTTGACCTCCTTTAGTATTTTTCTAGTGTGATGATGTGATGCAAAAAGTGTCAACTTCTGTCCTGAGATGTGTTACCAAATTCCTGTTCAGTTACCCCAGCCTTGGCATGTGCCCCAGGAAGGAGGGACACTTTATTCCAGCACACTCAACTTGAAGTCCTCTCTTAGGAGGAAGCTCTGGTACTTGTTCCTTCTCCTGTGTTCTTGTTTCCCTTGCTTCTGAGCTCTGCTCTCTGGCCACCTGATGGTCTCCCCAGTCGAGAGCACCTGTCCTTTGTGCCCTATGGCATCTCTGCCCCTTTCTTGCCTGACTTCTTCTCCTATCTCAGCCTCATCTCAACTGCTGTCCCTGCTTGAGCATCCACTACTAATGTTTCAGTCTATTTCTTGAGTAAGTAGTTTGAGTTTCCAGCGAGGGTTAGCTGACCTCCTCTTCCTTGGTGTAGATCAGGACTGACAAGACCCCAGTATATCAGCAACACACTCCACTTGTTGCCTTCTGCCTAATGGCACCTTGAACATGTCACTTGGTCCCTGGACTCTCTATCCTTCAAGAGCCCTGTAGTGACTCAAGAATGTCTGTAACTTCTCTATGTCCATAGTAGGAATGACCAAATAAAACACCTGAGACAGTCCCAGACTGCCCAGCACACCCTCAGGTGTGGAACTGAATGGCCCCACCCTTTTCCTTCCCACCTTATCTGCTGATGATTGTTGTCGCAAACATTTGCATCTGCCTGGGAAAAAGTAGGCACTTTCTGGCCCTCTTGAGGCAGCTCCCTGGGTAGGCTACCTGAAGTAGCCTCTGATTAGGAAAATATTACGCTGAACCCTGTGTATTAGTTTCCTCTGGTTGCTGTAACAAATACCACAAACTGATAATTTAAAGAATGTAGATGTGTTCCCTCTCAGTTCTGAAGAGTAGAAGTCTGAAAGAAAGGTTTCTATAGGACTGGTTCTATCCAGAGACTGACAGAAAATCTGTTCTAAGCCTCTGTTTTACCTTCTGGTGGCTGTTATCAATCCTTGATGTTTTTTAGTTTAAAAATGTGTCCCTCCAATCTCTGCCTCTCTGCTGTTCTCTCTGCCTGTGTCAGGGTGCAAATTTCCCACATCTTATAAGGACAACACTGTTAGAAATATCTGGGTGCTGCAAGAAATCAGACACACACTAAAGAGGTACTCAGCGAGGCAAAATTTTACTTTTGCAGAAGAGTGTGCTACTAAAAAAATCTGACAAGCAAGCATACTGGGTGGGATGTCTGCCCAGGTTTTTAATCCCTAATCCAGCACTGCCCCTTGCTCGGCTTGGAGGAGTTCCGAGTATCTATCTATGCAATTGACTAGTTTAAAATTGGGGAGGGTAAAGGGAAGGGGTATAGTTATGATTGTATCACCTAGTGCATGTAGGCATTATGATTGGAAGACTGAGGACAAAGGGGCCACTCAAAATGACTACATTTTATTGGAAATAAGAGGTGCTGCAAGAAATCAAACATGCTCAAATGTGGATGGGGAAGGCAAACCTTTATTCTGCCCAAAGGATATGCTGCAGGGTATCTGATTAAGCAAGCTCGACTGGGTGGGCAGTCTGCCAACATTTATCCCTGACGAGGTACTGCCCCTCTCTCTGGATAGGAAGAAGTTGGCGTTACAATCTACGGGATTAGCTAATTTTAGAATTAGGGTGGGCAAAGGGGAGGGCTAGAACTGATCTAATTAAGGCTGAATACTAGATTTTGAAAATGAACCACCAGACTTTCTATTCCTCACAATTTCAACCACATAGTTTTGTAATTTAAAAATAGATCCATCGAACTACAGGCAGTGAAATTTAGGTTTTAGATTACAGCAAACACATTTTGCTACATATTAGGAAACAAAGACTTCAGATTCAACATTGATGGAAAAGAGAACATTCACTTTACAATAGTCACTAGATTAGGGCCCACCCTAATCCAGTATGACCTCATCTAAGAAGCCTTTTCCAGAATAATTTATCATATTCTGAGTTTCTGGGTGGGTATGAATTTGGAGGCAAGGGGAATAGTATTCAACTTAGTACACTGGCAGATAAAAGATTACTTTCATTATGTCTATTCCATTTTAAGAGCCAAAATGTTAAATGGGTTCCTTGGTGCTATCCTTTCAGCCAGGCCTTTCAATAAAAGAGCAGACCTACAGAGCTTGGTGCCATACCTTATTAATATATGTGGAGTAAAAAAAAAAAAAAGGATTTCTGAGTTTCTTGAATGCTATTGCTCTGTGGGGAAGTGCAGGGGGTAACAAATGCTTTAGGACACAGCTCCTGCCCTCCAGGTACTTTGAGTCAGATTTCATGACAAGACTCTTTTTTTATCTTGGAGATAAAACATCTCCCATAAAAGGAAGGGCTTTGAGGTCAGCCTGGCCTTGGCTGGATTATGTGTCCATTGTTAATTTGACATGAAACCTGGGTAAGTCCCTTAACTTCTCTGAATCTCAACTTTCCTTACTGCAAAGCAAGAATTTTAGTAGCATGTGAATTATAAAGTTATGAGGATTAAACACAATAATGGCTGCATTGATGGTACCTACTATTATTATTGTTGCTATTATTACAAAAACAATTGTGGATGACTTATAATCATAGCTCAGCTGGGTAACACAGTTTGTATGACATCCAAATTATTTCCTCTGCAAAGTAGAGCTTCTAGAAAAGAATGACTTTGTTTGGCCCAGAGTCAGATTGAGATGATCAAATGTTTTCACTGTAAAAATATTTTTTAAAAAAATGTTTTGTCCCAGTGGAGCAGAAAGTTTTTTGAGAACAAGCAGTTTGTTTAAGCTACAGGGAGAGAGATCCTGTCTTCTCAGATTAACTCAAATGAGCCCAAACCCAGAAACGCAAGTGCCACAAACATAAGAGTTCCCTGGAGCAAATTTCTGCCTTCTTAGATATGAGCAAAGCAGCAACTCTTGAACTTTTAACCCCACTGCAGAGAAATCCTTGTCACCAGAGGCTCCCTTTACCTGAGGATCCCTTCACCCAAGGCTCCCTTTCCCTGAGGCTCCTCCTCCTCACAGCTTGGCACAGCATCAGCTTGGACGCCTAACATCTTAGCAGCCCTGTGGACTGAGAAAGTCTGCCCACACCCTGGAAGCTGACCCCTGGCTGGCTCAGCAACAGGCCGCTGGGCCAAGGCACCTAAGGTCTTCCTTAGAAGCTCTCGGAATCCCTGATACCACTGTACAGACATGAAAATGATTCCTCACTGGGGTTTCTTGCATTTGGCTGTCAAAAAAGCATTGCTGCAAATGAGCCAGCTAGCTCTGCAGAGCAATTTGATTTTTTAAGTGTTAAGAGGACAAACTGAAATTTCTTTATTTAAAAAAAAAAAAACAAGGTTCTTTGAACTGGAAGTGCTATTGTTTCTATAAAAAGAACATTTACCAAGGCTGGGTCAAGGGTGGCACTCAGAATGTGGGCTTTATGTTCAGGCTAAGAGAAATTTTCTTTGAGTTCTATACTAAGAGAAAACAAAGGGAAGGGAGAAAAGAAAGATGAAAACAACGCAGGGGAAGATAAAACCAAGAAGCATGAAACAGAAGTAAAGCAAGAAAACCAT